TAGGAGCTTTGTTCCAATCACTCGGTCAATATGACAAGGCCCGGGAATGTCAGGCGAAAGCACTCCCTATCAAAATAGAAACTGGCGACAGGCATGGAGAAGCAACAATCTACGGAAACCTAGGAGCTTGTTTCAAATCACTTGGCCATTATGACAAGGCCCGAGAATATCAGGAGAAAGCACTCGCTATCAGAATAGAAATTGGCGACAGGCATGGACAAGCAGCAAGCTACGGAAACCTAGGAGCTTTGTTCCAATCACTCTGTCAATATGACAAGGCCCGGGAATGTCAGGCGAAAGCACTCCCTATCACAATAGAAATTGGCGACAGGCATGGAGAAGCAACAACCTACGGAAACCTAGGAGCTTGTTTCAAATCACTTGGCCATTATGACAAGGCCCGGGAATATCAGGAGAAAGCACTCGCTATCAGAATAGAAATTGGCGACAGGCATGGACAAGCAACGAGCTACGGAAACCTAGGAACTTTGTTCCAATCACTGGGTCAATATGACAGGGCCCGGGAATGTCAGGAGAAAGCACTCGCTATCACAATAGAAATTGGCGACAGGGATGGAGAAGCAACAAGCTACGGAAACCTAGGAACTTTGTTTCAATCACTCGGTCATTATGACAAGGCCCGAGAATATCAGGAGAAGGCACTCCCTATCAAAATAGAAATTGGCGACAGGCATGGAGAAGCAGCAATCTACGGAAACCTAGGAACTTTGTTCCGATCACTTGGTCATTATGACAAGGCCCGAGAATATCAGGAGAGAGCACTCGCTATCAAAATAGAAACTGGCGACAGGCATGGAGAAGCAACAAGCTACGGAAACCTGGGAGCTTTGTTCAAATCACTTGGCCATTTTGACAAGGCCCGAGAATATCAGGAGAAAGCACTCCCTATCACAATAGAAATTGGCGACAGGCATGGAGAAGCAACAATCTACGGAAACCTAGGAGCTTGTTTCAGATCACTTGGCCATTATGACAAGGCCCGAGAATATCAGGAGAAAGCACTCGCTATCAGAATAGAAATTGGCGACAGGCATGGACAAGCAACAAGCTACGGAAACCTAGGAGCTTTGTTCCACTCACTCGGTCAATATGACAAGGCCCGGGAATGTCAGGAGAAAGCACTCGCTATCAAAATAGAAATTGGCGACAGGCATGGAGAAGCAACAAGCTACGGAAACCTTGGAACTTTGTTCCAATCACTCGGTCAATATGACAAGGCCCGAGAATATCAGGAGAAAGCACTCGCTATCACAATAGAATTTGGCGACAGGGATGGAGAAGCAACAAGCTACGGAAATCTAGGAGCTTTGTTCCAATCACTCGGTCAATATGACAAGGCCCGAGAATGTCAGGAGAGAGCACTCGCTATCAAAATAGAAACTGGCGACAGGCATGGAGAAGCAACAATCTACGGAAACCTAGGAATTTTGTTCCAATCACTCGGTCAATATGACAAGGCCCAAGAGTATCAGGAGAAAGCACTCGCTATCAGAATGGAAATTGGCGACAGGGATGGAGAAGCAACAAGCTACGGAAACCTAGGAACTTTGTTGGAATCATTCGGTCAATATAACGAGGCCCTAAAATATCAGGAGAAAGCACTCGCTATCAGCATAGAAATTGGCGACAGGGATGGAGAAGCAACAAGCTACGGTAACTTAGGATCATTGTTCCTATGCCTTGGCCAACATAGCGAAGCCGAAGAGTGTATGGAAAAAGCACTGCGTATCAAAAAGAAAATTGGTAAAAAAAGAGGAGAGGCGAATAGCTATGGAAACCTCACAGATTTGTTTCTCTCGCTCGGCAAGTATGCAAAGGCTGACGACTATCTAAAGAAGGCAATCACAATTAGAGAGGGTAGCGGTGATAGAAGCGGAGAAGCAGCAGATTACAGCCACCTTGGTACAATCTCTCGTAAGCGTGGTGAATATGACAAGGCTCGAGAGTATTACGAGAAATCCCTTACAATTCACATGGAAATCGATGAGAGAGAAGGAGTACTAGTCAACTACAGCAATCTAGGATTGTGTTTCAAATCGCTAGGTAAATATGACATGGCCGAAGAATACCTTAAGCAGGCTCTCTTATTAAGTAGGGATATTGGACACAACTTGAAGGAGTTTCAGTGTCTTTGTCATCTATCGGTGTTAAAGGCGTTACAATGTCATCTTGAAGAGGCTTCTTCCCATCTTCTTCAAGCCATCCAAAAGTTCGACACTTTGAGAGGTTTTCTTAAAGAAAACGATCAGTTTCAAATATCTCTTTTAGAAGAGCACGGCACCTTTCCCTACAAGTTCTTCAGTAGGTTGCTTTCTTCCACTAGAAAGTCGCAAGATGCCCTTTACGTCGAAGAGCTGACAAGAGCAAGAGGCCTGGCTGACTTGATGGCAGCTCGGTACTCTGTTCAAGAGCAGATCTCAAGCGACCCGCAATCTTGGTGTGGCATTCAAGGGATCATCACAAAAGAAGCAGAATGTGCATGCCTGTACATTTCGGTTGGTCAAAATGATGTACGGTTTTGGATAATTAAAGCAACGGGAGCCATTCAGTTTTTAGAAAAGAAAGTGAAGCTGGACCAAAACAAGGTGACCGGAATAGTCCCTGAGTTAGATGAGTTTTTTAAAGAAGCCTTCCGCAGCCAAGCTATTTTACCCGAACAGAATTGCGAAGATCGATCTTTAGATGATACGGAACTGACGTCACTTCCCGACAAGCGCTCAGTGCTGCGTGACTATGATGCCAAAGATTTCAAAACAAGTCTTGACTTGTGTTACAAGATAATCATCGCTCCTGTAGCCAGTTTACTGAAGCAGCCCGAGATCATAATTGTCCCTGATTCCTGTGTGTACCAAGTGCCATTTACAGCCTTGGCTGACGAAGGAGGCAAGTATTTATCAGAGACATGCAGGATTCGGATAGTTCCCTCTCTGACCACTCTCAAGCTTGTGCAAGACAGTCCTCCAGACTATCACAGTCAGACCGGGGCACTGATAGTGGGTGACCCTGTGGTTGGAGAGGTGATTTACAAGGGAAGGCGCAGAAATATAACAGCATTGCCGTGTGCAAGAAAGGAAGCAGAGATGATTGGAAGACTTCTTGGCGTAACACCTATGATAGGATATTCTGCGACAAAGCATTTTGTACTTCAAACGATAAATTCAGTGAGCTTGATACACATTGCTGCCCATGGTGATGCCGAAAGAGGGGAGATTGCTCTTTCTCCTAAGCACCCTTCCCCACTCTCACCTTTACCTCGAGAAGGAGATTATCTTTTGACGATGGCGGATATTTCAAAAACTAGGTTGCGAGCTAAACTAGTGGTTCTTAGTTGTTGTCACAGTGCTCGTGGACACATTAGAACCGAGGGAGTTATTGGAATCGCCCGAGCGTTCTTAGGAGCCGGAGCTCGTTCAGTGTTAGCGGCACGATGGGCCCTAGATGACGCAACCACAGAGCAGTTCATGACTTGTTTCTACAGACATTTGTACCGCGGTGAAAGCGTCAGTGAATCTCTCCATAAGGCCAGGAAGTGGATGAGAAACAACGGTTTTGACAAAGTTTCTCAATGGGCGCCATTTATGATCATGGGCGACAACTTGAAATTTGATTTTGGAAATTGGCCGGTGCCTAGCGTACTTTAAAAGCCATGACTTGGATAAATCCTCTGTAGGAGAATGAACTAGACTCAGTAAAGCTCGGCACTATTTAATTACTAGCCCGTAAAAGAAGGAAAACTCGAATCGATACACAGAGGAAGATATTTCTGTAAAAATTTTCATCAGAGATCTAAGTTTAATAATCTGAAACAAGACAGTGTATAGTATTATCTCTTTATAAGAGTTCCGAAGTCATTAATATAGTGAACAAGCCAAGGTTTCGAACGCGATTAGCTCTTCAAGGAAATTCTTAATCCTTTTCAAAGGTGATTAGTTAGCCAATTTAAGAGACTTTTAAACTAATGTGTGACTTGGAAAAGAAATTTTTCTAAGCTTAAATTTTTGGAAATTTCTTGCGAGGCTTTTGTCAAGAAATATTGTGGTTTAACATCCCTAATTAAACACATTTTAAAAAAGAAGAAGAGATATTTTTGTAAGTAATGCAAACCATTGTATTTTCATAGATACCCCAGTAATTTTATCAATTTAACCTTGTAACCCCAAAGAGTGACTAGCATCTAATTTCTCCTCACAATTTCACTCCTGAATCAAACATTAAGGTCATGAGAATAAAGGAAATGATCAACAAGTACAGGAGCTCTTGATTGTTCTGCAAAATCTCCTTGTCAGCACCTTAAAAAATGTATATGCATACTGACCTTAGGGTGTAAAGGATTAATCGATACCCTTTGCGTAGGTGCCTTTGTATCCTAACACAGACTCGTATGCTCACACATACTTTTGTAAACTCATTATCCTTCCCTTTTGCTCTGCCGCTACTGTTTCGCTCCGTTTCATCAATTGAACAGTTGGAAAAGGTTACATTAAGAAAAGTTTATGCAGGGGATTGCATTTTGTTGACCAAAACACTCAACAGACTTTTCGTCTGCTACTTTTGTGCCACATATCCGAGTTACAAGACAATAAATATACAATGATAACCGTAAAAATACGACATATATTTGAATACGAAAAAAAAATTTGCTTGCGAGAAAAATATTTCATAAGACCGTTGAAATTTATTTGAAAAACACGGATATATAAATATATATATGTATATAAATGTGGGGGCAGAGTCTACCTTGGCATAAAGTGCTCAATGCTGTGGTAGCAGAGCTGGGTATATATAAGTGAAGGAATCAAAGAGGATGCATCGATTCTCTGTTATTCTAAGTTTCGCGCCTAAGCGCTCGTCAGACAGAACTTTATTCAATGAAGAACATACCTCCTTATATACAAATTAGATGAGTAGCTAATTAATTCACTTGTATGATGATCTGATCTATGTGTGAAAGAATTTGTTTACTGACTTTTCATGTAGGGTGGTTGGCGAAGTTATCTTTATGGTCTTTTAGGGTAATGAGAAGCCAGCTAGGTCACGCTCTGTTTCCTTTGATGGCCTGCATGACTTCTCCTCCAGTTCCATGATTCTTCTCCCGATAAATAATTCGGCAGAATCGTACATCGTATCAAAATTATCGAAAAACTCTTTAAATTTCTGGGTCTCCTAGATCTTGTAGAACCAAGTAGGCAAAAAACCGACTGTAATGAAAGAGAAGTTCAATCCTTGCCTAATTGAGGCTTTATTCAATAAGACCTCGTGCTTACATATTGAACAACATAAACATGGCGGCCTAACAAAAACAAGTCCGCTATCATGTGCGGATTAACAACTCCGCTGACATGTGCGTGGGCACTAAAATAAACAGGAAGCCCAGTAATTAAGGATTAAATCGCCACACTGTCACTACACCGACCTCGACCGCATTCGCCAGAAAATCTCCGACGACTTTTATGAAGGTCTGTGCCCCTTTATTGATTTCCTATTCAAGACAGCCAAACCTTTCGTCAAACAACGCCTCCGCCACAGACTTAAGCGACCACTTGGAGAGTCCATTATCGAGTTCACAAACTTCGTTTTCTTTCACTGACCCACTAGGCTCTCGAACTGATCGTAATCAGTGAATAAAATCGCCGATAATTTTATTAAAACCCGGAGTAAAGTCGGCGACTTCTTTCGGTCAAAGCATTCTTCTGCTCAGGACGCTCCGTAGCTTGTACCATTCTTCGCCATCGGCAAAAAAGACACCAGGAATTTTCTTCCTATTCTCCCGGTAGAAATTTAGAGACGGAAAGTCCAGTCTTTCTGGGTGTTTGGGCTCCGATCAGAGTAACTTTGCAACGTAGGCAGGATCGGATAAACTAATAATCGAAAAGAAAATGGGGCGGGGGCCCCTTCCCCGTTTTCTTTCGGAGGATAGTGCAGGACAGTGACATGTTACCAGCGGGACATGTTATCTTCGCGCTTTTATCAACTTGGATGCCATAACAATTATATTACTGGGTCGTGCGTGGTACTAATTTTATTTTTTTTAATCTTAAACAAACTAGGGTGCAGCACTCTGGGAAAGGTTATTGTAAGCAGACAAACACAGTGATAGCAGGCTTTTAAAAAGTAAAGGCAGAGTCGTGCGAAATGTTTTACAAACTGGACGAGGTGTCGGATTCGCTGCTATCTCTAGTTATCTTCAAAGTTAGCGCCTTCTTTTAAGGAAAAACGCACAGCGCCGACATAAAAAACAAGCACAACACAAGGGTACTTAGATAGTAACCGGCAGAAAAGTGTTCGAACAATGCACTGCAGTGGTATCTGCTGGATCTGTGGTGTAGGTAAGCCTCGGGCTTTCAGGGGGAGTCTCCGGAGGTGTTGTAGGAGCCTTGGCTAGTTTCT